CACCATCATGTCCCTGCAGGGTCTCTGTACAATTTCAATGTTTTGAGTTTGACCAAGTAAAACTCCTGCAGGGTCACAGCTTTGCACAGTTTTGCTCCAACCCTAATCAAACACAGCTGATCCAAATAATCAAGGTGTTCAAAACTACTAGAAACTATTAAGCAGGTGTGAGATAAAAGGGGTTGGACCAGTTTGAGACCATTGCTCTATATGGTGTTTATTATTATTACTATTATTATTATTATTATTATTAATATTATTATAATTATTATTATTATTTTACTATTTTTTTTATTAATTCACTTATTTTTTGTATTTTATTTCTTCTTTTGTTACTATTTATTTAAAAAGTATTATAGATAGTATACTTTTTTGTTTTGTTTTGTGCTCATAAAAATAAAATATATTTTTTAATTCTCTCTTTTTTGACATTGAACGCAATCATTTTTAAAGAGTAGATCGTCATTATTCAGAATTTTATACAATTGATTTTGTAGAATTTAGAGTAAGTACAGCTGAAATGAAGATTTGTGCCTTAATGCAGGAGAACAGCCTTTAAAAATGTAAAGCACATTGATAAAATGTTATTATTTTTTTCTTTTGAAATGCCAAAAAGTCTAAAATCCTAAAATCGACAGATGGATCGGAAAACAGTGTGTTTGCCTGCAGTCTCAACTTAATGTGGAGGATTTATAATCACCTGAAGCAGCTGTTGTGAGGATGCTGTTCTACCTGAAATGGACCAGCGGGATGATAGAAGTGTGTATGTGTGTGTATGCTTTCTCTTTTTCCATTTTGAGTTTTGCAGATGCAGGTATTTACTGCAGTAACACCAGACCGCAAGCAAGCAGACCCACCGCCCCTCCCCGTGTCTCATTTCACACACACACACTGCTTATCTTCACAGCTGACCTTGTGGTGTACATGACAAAATAGAAAGAGAAAATGTTCATACAATCTCCGAGTGTAACAGAGAGCTCCCCCTGCTAATGAATTATAGAAATGAAGGTGGAGTCGCGGCGGTGGCAGAAAGCCAGGACAGTCGTCAAAGGAGCGAAGTAAACAGCTCTGTGATTGTGGGATTAAATGAACATGCTCTTGCCAGACGTTCATTCCACAGACGAGACTCCTCCGAGAACCAGATACAGCATCCAAACGTCTACAGACGTGCCAGAAGGACTTCACAGTTTACACTATAATCATCACAGACTGCGCAGACTGTAGTCTCGTAACACGTGATGTCATTCAGCACACGCTGATCTCTTCAATATATACTTGAGAAAAAAAACACTAAACTTTAAGAACAGTTTTCTAATAAAAACTTACACTTCGAAAATTAGAAAGGAAACATGTGAATCTCCAAAATATTTGCAGGTTTCATTTCATCTAGACTGTTTTTAACTGGTTTGAACATTTTAACAGTGTTAGGTGATAAGCTGAAATGCATTACCATTTCCAACTGGTATTATTTCTCCTGTGATCACTTGCTTTCAGATTTTGCCGAAACTCTTCCCTTAAATTTCACAGGAGTGCTCAGTGTGTTATAGATGTTATGAATGAGAGAGAAGCAAGTGAATGAATAAAGATGGTAAATGTGATTTACAGCCCAGGCTCATTGGAAATAGATGTCTCAGCCTACATTTTTGTGAAACATAAAATACGTTGCTCTGGGTGCGTTTTGTTGCATGTTTCAGATGACAAATCCTTTAGAGGGCGCTGTCTACATTTTTGTAAATCTGAAATATGTTACATAGGGCAGTGGTTCACAGAGTGGGGGTCGCGAGACAATGGTGGGGCGAGGGGATCACTTGGTGATTTCCAAAAATCTAATTAATTTTATTAAACCACAAGTATTACAATACTTTATCCATAACCTACAGAAGATAATAATAGTAGTTTATGGTTATAGCCTTTAGATTTGTTTTTCTGTTGAATTGTGACCTTTGTGGTAATAACATTATATTAAACACACAGCAATAGTGTCAGTGTCAATAGTGATTTTATTGCACCATGTTCAACTTTGTGGCAAATTTACAGCACTCACATACATTTAAAAAAATAACAGAAGAATACACCTGGGCCTATTTGGTGTGTGTGCGCTGTGGCATGCAAGATGTATATATTTCTAATCACCTCGGAGGATATTCAGTGTCGCGAGTCACTGGCACTGTTATTTTGAGGGTCGCGGGTTAAAAAGTTTAAAAACCCCTGACCTAGGGTACGTTTTGTTACACGTCCTTTTTGCACAAGTCAATTAGAAGGCAGGACTTATGTTGTCGAACATATCACCTAGCAATCCACTGACAAAACCCTTTCCAACTAATAGTGTTTTCAAAAGCAAATGTAAGAGAAAAGTACACCGTGACCACATAATTTTACCTTGAATTTACCTTGCTTTTATCTGTTTTGTGGAACTGTGCTTCACCAGACTCAAACCTGGGCATTTTGCACTACAAGTATTACAACGTAAAAAGTGAGCTACAGAGTAAACTGATCATGACAGAAATGTCATCCATATGGAGATAGATAGGTGAGGTAAACATATTCGATTGCAAATCCACCACCAATAGACACCATCTAATAGTTTTGTGGTAATTATTTGATTTTCTTTTTTTTAAAACTACATGAAAATAATCCTTTATTTGTCAATAACATGTCCCTCTAACTATCATTAGTCTGAAAAGGAACTAAAAGATTTGGTGTTATACTGCCCCCTAGTGTTTATTTTATCTAGAAACTGCAGTTAAACGTATGTTGAAGTATGTTTTTGCAGTTTAACAAAAAAACAGGCAGAAGCATGTATTTCCAATGAGCTTGTGTCGATGAATTTAATTGTAATCTGTGTGTTTTGGTACAATGTGGCAAAGTATAAATATATTTTCTGAGCCTTTTCTCACAACACGTCCCACAGCGATCACATTTTTGGTCAGCAGATGGAGAATATAGAATCTTTTGTGGCTGTTTATGCGCATCTGACCACATGAGAAGTTTGATGAAAAAGTTTGACTTAAAGAAAATCAAATATGGAACCACTGATCTGATTTGATATTATTGATTATGATATATTGTATTTATTGATTATGATATATTGTATTTATTGATTATGATATATTGTATTTATTGTACTGCAACTGTATATTGTACTATATTTTTTATTGGTAAACTTGCTACAACTTCCCGCCCAGGGACTACAGATGTAAATTAGCTTTAGAGCTAACTCTGGCACAACATGTCATGTTGTACATTGTCCCTGTATATATAAATAAAATAAATTAATTAAAAATGAGCATTTAAACTACCAGAACAGTCTGACAGAACTAGTTTCAACTACTTCAGGTAGAAACAGTTTGCACAAAAAATATTGTACAAAATGTCTAAAAGAGATAGTATGGCCAAAAATCCCCTCATATTGTACAAGAGTTTCTTGCTTCTAATGAACTCAAGAGACAATATTTTAAAGAATGGGGGAGCCAGACAGTTAACAGTAGCCACTTATAGAAGAATAAAAATAAAATACTGTGGAACATTCTTCAAAATTTCTTCTGTAGTGTTCAACAGAAGCAAAAAAAAAAAAAAATAATAATAAAATTCTATATGACTGAAATAACTTGAGAGTGCATAAATGGTGGCATCATTTTTGGGGGGTTAAACGACCCCTTGAAAAACAAAAGAAAAAAAGGATTATAAAAAAAATTAAAAAGGAAGCACAAAATAAATGACAGAATTTATATGCCATTACATTTATTAATTATGCCATTATGCCATTACAAAATATTTTTTTCCTTATTTTGTTCATTATATATTAGCACACATTCTCCACACAAATATCTCATTAGCATGACTTTTTACAGGCATTTTGTAGGGTCTTTCACTGGATTCCCATTACATAGTCCAATGTTGTTGTTGTTGTCGTTGTTGTTGTTGTTTTAATCATAAATTCAATTATTTAAATAAAGCATGATTGTTTGTTTATGTATTTATTAAGTTGTTGTTGTTGGATTCCAATACAGTAATGAGAACGAGAATTTCACTATTCACAATGGTTATAATCAAAATTGGGACACTTAATGAATGCTCAGCTGTCATGAAATGTCACAATGCAAAATTAATGATTCATTAAAACAGGCCTTATTTTTGGGACCATTTATTTTCACCAAAAAATAACTATTTTTTTTACTCTGAAATATAACTCAAAAATATTATAAGTCCTCCTAGTTCTTTCTTTCCGATTGCTCATTATTGCATGCACTTTTTACTTAAATACTAACTATTTACTTCTGTTTGTTTCTCTTTCATTGTCAGATTGTTTTATTAGTTATTTTAAAAAGGTGTTAGCTTACAGAATACCAAAATGACAATATATGTAAGCATACGCATGCTATAGGTCTTCAAAATCATGTTGCAAATTGGGCAAATTACATGTGTATATTATTATTAGCATTTTTGCAGTGCAATTTTAACTTAAAGCTCAATAATTTCTACAGGAAATATAAAACCTCAAGTACGTTGTTTACAGCTTTTATGTGCTTCTACAGCATGAGCTCTAAACCCCAGGCATTTTACACTGCTCAACAATTCATGAGATTTACAGTTTGTGTCTGTAATTGTGTGTGTGACACAGACAGTGTGTATATGTGTGTGAGTGGTAGCGTCAGTGGTCATGTTTTGGTTTGTTGTTGGTCTCTTCATGCTGTCCACTCGTCTTCAAACACACCACACATTAAGCGAGGGGTGGCTGTGAACAAACATGCATGCATGTAGGAGTGTGTTCGCATGCATGTGAGACTCTTCGATGTGTGTGCATGTGTGATAGTGGATTTGTGAGTGCTTTGTGTGCATGAGCTTGTACTTTTGTGTGAACGTGTGCATAATGCATGTACATTTGGGAGTGTGTTTGCATGCCTCTATGATAGTATGAGTTCCATCAGTGTGTGAACAAGTGTACAAGAGAGTCTCTAACACACACGAGGAGAGGAGAAATCCAAACACAGTATACTTACACTGCAATTCCTCACATATCCAAGCTTAGATAGAAAAGAAAACACACAATCAATATCTGTCTCACTCTGATGGCATGAGGTCTACATCTAAATGAGAGTCATTGGTCTTGTGTACTGAGCTGAGGTCTGTAATTATAATGAACGCGTGAACATGTGCTCTGTTAAATCCCAGGATACTAAGCTTGATTTATTATTCGTTTAATACTATTAATCAATAATTATTAATAATTAAAGTTTTAAGTATTAATAACTATTACAGTAACATGTTTAGAAAAAAAAAGAAAGATTTGACAATGTTTTTTGAAAGAAGTCTTCTGCTTAAAAAGGCTACATTTTTTAGGATTAGTAACACAATAACAATTGAAATGTGATCTTGGAGTCTTGTGTTACACAGGTATGTTTGTCTTTTATGTCAAAAATCATTAGAACGTTAAGTAAAGATCATGTTTCATTAAGATATTTTGTAAATTTCTGACTGCAAATATATCATAACTTATATTAGTAATATGCTTGGTTAAGTACTAAATTTGCACAACTTTAAAGGTGATTTTCTCTATTAAAATATATTTTTATAGCCTCACATTACAGATATTCAAATAGTTGCATCTCAGCAAAATATTGCCCAATCCTAACAAACCATAGAGCACAGGAAAGTACATGTATTTATATTTTAGTAGTGCTTGGAAAAACTTTATTGCGATGAATTGCATCCAAAATAAACAATTGTAGCTTAATATTTGCAGTTTGACCATTGCTTATTTGTTTCTAACATTTTCCCCTCCATTTTATTTTATTTTAATTTCTATCTATATAACTCTGTTTCTTCATTTTATATTTGCCTTATATGAGCTTAATGTGATTCATTGTGTATAAATATGTACAGGTGAGTGAACATATAAGGGAACTTTTATCTACTTATGTATGGATGTATGTATATATGTACATATCATGACATGAACTGATTAAAAATGTGCATAATAGATTGTATATAAATGGTGCAGTGGGTCGGGGGACTCTGTTGAAGCAAGGATAATTTGTCTCTGTTTTTCAAATCTTTTTAAAATTGTTGTTTTATTGAACAAAATGTCAATAAAAAAATCTGAACAAAATAACAGTTTTTTGTGACATAATATATGTGTGTGTACATTGAATATGTTATGTATGTGTGTATATATATGTGTGTGTGTGTGTGTGTGTGTGTGTGTGTGTGTGTGTGTGTGTGTGTGTGTGTGTGTGTGTGTGTGTGTGTGTGTGTGTGTGTGTGTGTATATTTATATAAAGGCTTAACTTGGTCAATTTGGTTAACTAGTCAGGTTAGGGTAATTAGGTAAGTTATTGTATTCTGTAGACTATCGAAAAAAATATAGCTTATTGGGGCTAATAATTTTGACCTTAAAATGGTTTTTAAAAATTTAAAAACTGCTTTTATTGTCGCTGAAATAAAACAAATAAGACTTTCTTCAGAAATAAAAAAACATTATGAGACATACTGTGAAAATTTCCTTTTTCTGTTCAACATTATTTGGGAAATATTTACAAAAGAAAAAAATATTGCATTAATAATTCTGATTTCAACTGTATATATATATATATATATATATATATATATATAAATCACACATATATCTTATGTCAAAACAAAATTTTTTTTTGGATGCAATTAATCATGATTAATCTTTACCCAGCACTATATTTTAGACGATGTATACATCTCAGTTTCAGACACTTATGACTGGTTTTGTTGGCCAGGGTCAAAAAAAGTTAAATATTTGTTTCTGTCTGAATATTTTTTACAATTTCTTCAGTGATAAAATAAAACATATGTCTTTAGTATCACAATCACACAAACCTTAAATATTTCTTTACTGTCACATTTGCTTTATTTAATGTTCCCTTTTGAATAGTAACATATTAAAGTTCTCCCAAAAATAAAAAAATTAAAATCCAATAATAAGAAGCAGAAGTGACTTCTTTGAACTTTTCAGGTACTAGAATATAAATGGTCTCCCTGCAGTGACTTTTTAAAAGAACTTTAGAATTTTACACTGCAATTCATGTTTCGTTTCCATGGCGTTGCATCAAACTATAACTCCAAAGGAAAATTTTATTTCCTCACAGTTATGAATCAGTTACATTCTAAATCCGCTTCTTAAGAGTGATGTCAGGCAAAGTGGCTTCGGGTCCAAGCACTCTATCAAACTGTATGGGGAGACTCATCAAATGCTAATAACAAACATTTACAAAGCACCAGAGATTGTTGTGTACACAATGATTTTATATAAAAATCACTTTAATGTGTGATACCAATAAAAAGTGATCATAAACAAATATTTTCTCAATTCAAATGAGTGGTGGCTTGGACCCGGAAACACCAACACGTCACCACTTAACAAGTGGATTCTGTTCATTCGAAATCTCATTTGTAAGAAGGTATTCCGAGGGCCACAAAAATAACAATCCCACATGTGGGACAGTACTGTTTAGAGGGCATAAAACACATTGATGCATCTTAAATGTTTACAAACGTTTTAGATTATTATTTGGTTCATTGCAAAAAAAAAAAAAAAAATGCCAAAAACATCCGTAATAATCCATGGCGGATTTTCAAGTATGTTTGTGCTGTAATGCTTTCATAATTAAATTTAATAAACACAATTTAATAAATTGTGTAAATAATATATAAAAAACTAAAATAATGTAAGGTGACATGTAAGAAAACTACCTTATAATTATTTGATGTAATCAGACTGCACATTAGGAATGACCCATGCCATCAGCTTGCCTTTGTGTACAAAGTATAAAATACTAACAACGGAAAACTAAAAATGACTAGCTTTAACTTTATATAAACTGACATAGATTGCTATTAATAAAAAAGTTATTGACTCACCATATAAACAACACCTGATTATTTAACTCTGACTGTATCTCTGTCTGTATATTAAAGATACGTGTTTACAATTTACATATATACAAAATAATTTCTAATTTAAAAAATATGTGTAATTGTGCAGAGAATGTAGTAACACAGAACAGGAGTAAAGGCAGAACAGAGGAAGTGACATCAGACAGAAAGAGCCTGATTGGCTGAGGGGACAGGAAGAGGTGGAGACTGTGCATTCACCTTGTTGCGTTTGAAGTAGGCACGTCGACAGGCAGCGAAGCATTTCTCACTACAGAAGCTCTTGAGCTCAGAGCCCATACTGAGAGAATAACGCTTCACTCCCACCTTCTGACACCACGCACACATGATCTGAACATTAGACGAGTCCTCCTCTGAGACAGACAGACAGAGAGAAAAACAGAGAGAACACATCAGGGTCTATTCAGCCGGTGTTTGAAACAAAGATACAGCAAGTTGAAGATTAAACATAGAGTGGTAGACTAAACAGATGTCTGGCCTGTAGGGAAATCCTGGCTTTTTGTACTCTGATGTAGATTTTCTAAGCATTTTGTGCACTAGTGCAGTTGTGCTTGAAGAATGGAAAGCTTTTCTTTGCATTTGTTTGTGGGAAACATGACCGACAACTTCAAGATTAATCTCTTTTTTCTGAGTTTGCCTTTAAAAGCTACATAGTTTGAGAAAAATCATTTTATTTGTGTTTTATTAATTAACTAAAGATAAAGTGTGTTCAAAAATTGAAATGATGATTTAGTTCAATTCATTTGCAGATAATGACAATATGAAACATACTGAAGAATTTACAGGAGAATGTACAGGCTACTAATCAAATACAGCTGAGAGCCAATACAGCTTAGTCCCTTTATTCATCAGGGGTCACCACAGCGGAATGAACCGCTAACTTTATTCATTTATTCTTTTTCCTTCAGCTTAGGCCCTTTATTCATCAATGGTCACCAGAGTGGAATGAACCGCCAACTTATCCAGCATCTGTTTTATGCAGCGGATGCTCTTCCAGCTGCAACCCAGTACTGGGAAACACCTATACACTCTCATTCACACACATAGATTACGGCCAGTTTACTTTAATTAATTCACCTATAGCGCATGTCTTTGGACTGTGGGGAAAATGGAGCAATCCCATGCCAACATGGGGAGAACATCCAACCTCCACACAGAAATACCAACTGACCCAGACGGGACTCGAACCAGCAACCTTCTTGCTGTGAGGTGACAATGCTGCCCACTGAGCCAATGTGCCACCCTGGCTGAGAACCATAACTAGGGACTCTATATCTCCTACCAGAGGGAAGCAGTTCATAATGTGGAAACAAAAAATTAATTAAATCATTCAGAATCCTTTCCACCTGATTAATGACACAACTCTCATATAAAACTAGAGGATTAAAATATTCATATATATATATAGGGAAAATATTAAAGATTTAAAAAAAAAAAAAAAAAAAAAAAAAAAATATATATATATATATATATATATATATATATATATATATATATATATATATATATATATATATATATATATATATTATTTTTTAAAGTTTTATTTTGCTACTAACTAAAAAATTATTCTAATAAACATATTTGTTTAATAACTCTTTTTTGTTCAAATGCTACAAAATATATTCACTGAGAAATTGAAAAAACTATTGATTTTCATTATGGGGTGTACTCATATATGCTGAGTACTGTATATTCCATGGTAAGCTGTGCTTTGTCTTTTTTGTAAAATTATCTTATTTTGTCAGTTATTTGTGTCTTCAAATAATTGTATGTGCCTGATACAGCTTACTTGACTATGGAATTTCAAGGAAATTCTGTATACATTACTTCTTGCTATATATATATATATATATATATATATATATATATATATATATATATATATATATATATATATATATATATATATATATATATATATATATATATATATATATATGTATGTATGTATGTATGTGTATGTATGTATGTATGTGTATGTATATGTATATATATATATATTTATATATACAGTGCTCAGCATAATTGAGTACACCCCATTCTGAAAGTAAATATTTTTATACATTTCTCAGTGAATATAGGCAATGTATTTTGGTGCATTTAAACAAAACAGATTTATTAAACAGATATATTTATTCAAATAATATTTTAGTCACCAAACATATCTAGAAATTGGAAGAAAATACAATTAAATTCAAGATACAGTCAGAATTATTAAACCCCCCGATTTTTTTTTTTTTTTTACTTTTTTAAATATTTCCCAAATTATGTTTAACAGAGCCAGGAAATCTTCACAGTATGTCTGATAATATTTTTTTCTGTTGGAGAAAGTCTTATTTGTTTTATTTCAGCTAGAATCAAAGCAGTTTTTAATTTTTTAAAAACATTTTTGGGACAAAATGATTAGCCTCTTTAAGTTATATATATATGATAGTCTAGAGGAACAAACCATCATTATACAATAACTTACCAAATTACCCTAACCTGCCTAGTTATGCTAATTAACCTACTTAAGCCTTTAAATGTCACTTTAAGCTGCATAGAAGTGTCTTGAAAAATATCTAGTCAAATATTAATTACTGTCATCATGGCCAAGATAAAATAAATCAGTTATTAGAAATGAGTTTTTAAAACTATTATATTTAGAAATGTGTTGAAAAAAATCGTTTGTCCGTTAAACAGAAATTGGGAAAAAAATAAACAGGGGGCTAAAAATTCGGGGGGGAAAGGGGGGGGGTGTATCAAAGCTGATATCAAAACTATTAGAATTCTTTTTTTTTAATATTTCCCAAGTGCTCTTTACCGGAACTAATATTTTTTTCAACACATTTTTGCATTTTTTATGATCAAATTTTAATAACTAATGTCTAATATCTAATATCTTTGGTCTTTGCCATGATGACAGTGCATACTATTTTACTAGTTATTTTGCAAGATACTAATATTCAGCTTAAAATCCAATTTAAAAGCTTAACTAGGTTAATTAGGCAAGTCATGGGACAACAGTAACCAATTACAAAATTTAAAAAATTACATATATTATATTTACTTTTATATTTTTTATAATTACTTTTATATTTACTTCATACTTTATAAGTACTTTATATTTCATAGTCAACAGATAACTGTGATATCATCATATACTACATCAATTATTTAACAGTAATCTTACACTGATTCATCCATTTTTATATCACAGGCAGTTTATAATGCATACTCTCAGCATCTACAAAGGCTACAGGCACCAACCAACAAGGGGTTAAGAGAAACCTGTCATCACGCATCACCCCACACACATCAAGACTACATACAATTGTATATTTCTCAATGTGTGTGTGCGTCAGTCAATCTGCCTACATCACAGTGTATGCCACAACATATCAAATCAGTCCTATCATGCCTCACTAACAACCAGAGTGCTTCGGGCACAAGCGTTCGGGTTTGTTGTAGTGTATGTAAATCTGTGTTTAGGGTGAGTGTGGTTTAAGGGGCCACAAAAACCCACTGATTCAAAACTGTTCATTTTATGGACTATTCTGAGATTTGACTCTCAATCTGATATGTGGCATGTGATCATTTTAAAGCGTCTGGCCAAGTCAAACGATTTCTCCTCAGAGATCTTTCACACTCTCACCCTCTAGCAGATGCTTAATGATCAGATAAATGTGTGCGTGCAGAGAGGAAATGTCTGCCCATTAGACTTCACCTTTCCTCTCACCCCTCGCTTTTTCTCTTCTTACTTGTAATGAGTGAGTAGAGGAAGTTATGGATTAAAATAACAATCAGAGTTATGTTAAACATGCCTTCATAGGGTATACTCTGAAAATACAGCATACTTCATTAATTAATCTAGACAAATTAAACAAAGCAGTGGAAGGAATACAAGTGATTTCTGCAATTTTTGGCAAATATGAAAGACTAGACTGAATTATAACACTAGGTCAACCAATTAGCCTAGTTGAGATCTTGTCAAACTGTATAGTTAATATGTAAAATCTAAGCAAGTTTCTTTATGTGCACACATACAGCAGGGAAAATAAGTATTAAACGTCCTGTTTTTTCCTGAGAATAATATTTCTAATGGAGCTGTAACATGGAATTAAAGCAGATTTTGGTAAAAACCCAAACAATCCAAACATAAAAAAAAAACAAAAAAAAAAACAAAACAAAATCTGAAAATGAGTTAGGTGTAATAACAATGGAATGACACAAGGAGAAAGTACTGAATACTAAAACTTATTTAATACTTTATATAAAAGGCTTTGTTAATGATGGCAGCTTAAAGATGTCTCTCATATGGAGGATGAAGTCACTTGCATTGCTCAGGTATGAGTTATTTACATCAAAGTGTAAATCTTGATGGTTCTGTGGGTCTCGTCTGATCAAATCTGATCTTTATTCTGTATTTTATATTGGATTCAAGTCAGGGGATTGGCCTGGCCATGACTCTACAGCTTGATTTTCTTTCTCTGAAAGAATTTGAGAGTTTCCTTGACTGGGCTTTGGATCATTGTCTTGCTGAAATGTCCACCTTCATTTTCATTATCTTGCTAATATAGATGTTGGACTAAAGCAGCGAATATTCATTTACAATGACTAAGGACAGAGGGCTGCCGAAGAACTACTGAGAGATTTCAGCTGCAGTCTGGGCCTTTACAGCCTTCCTACACTTTCCTTTCTTTGTGTGTTCAATACTTTTTCCCAGAGTCATTTCATTGTATTGTACATAACTTCATTTGTAAACTAATTAGATTTGATTTATTTAGATTTATGGGTTTCTTTTGTTGTTATAAATATCTGATGAAAAATTCACGTCAACAGCACCTTTAGAAATATGATTTGAGAGAAAAATGGTGATGTGTTCAATACTTATTTTCCCTGCTGATCTACACATTTCCGGACCCTTTAATGAACCAAAATAGGCAACATTGTGAATACAACTAGAAAGAACAGGTCATTTTGTGCTTTTTATGGTCACATCTTATGCCACAATGTAAAGTTTTTGGTTTGTTTAGATTATTGGTCCTTATTTGCAGTAAAGTATGAGATGTTATTGACAAGAATGTAATGTATGTATCCTATTTCAGGATGTATTTCGATTGGCTGTCAATGCATATAACCTGCATCAGCTAAAAAAAAAAAATCTGAATGACATTCAAACAGTATATATTTTTCTATTGATGTTACTGTTGTGGCTGATCATTTTATCATTATAGTTAGCATCCTTGGTGTGAACTTACAAACCCTAAATTAGTACAGGGGTTCCCAAACTTTTCAGCACGCGACCCCCAAACTAACAATGCCAGTGACTTGCGACCCCCAATACCCTCTGAGGTGGATATAAATATAGAAGCGCGCACACACCAATAGGCACAAATCTATTCTTTGTTTAATTTTGGAGAATGCCACTCTGAGACCTCCATGCTTAGTCGTGGCCGGTATTTATTTTTAATGTACGTTAGTGATGTAAAGGTCTCAAAAAAATTAAAACTGGTGCCATAAAATAAATCAGCTGCATCTGAAGCTATTGCTGTGTTTTTAATATAACGTAATCTCCTCAGGGGTCACAATCTAATGGAAAAAAAAAATTTTGAAATGCTGATGGCTTTTTCTTTGCATGTTGTTGTTGTTTTTATGTAACTACTGACTATTTTGTCTCCTGCAGATTGTGGATAAAATATGGTAATTAAAATAGTTTAATAAAAGGAATTTGATTTTTGGAAATCACCAAGCGAGCCCTTCTCATTGTCCCGCGACCCCCCAAAGGGTCCTGACCCCCACTTTGGGAACCACTGAATTTGTACACATAAACCTTACAACAAATAATATAGAGAAGTCAACAGTAATAAAGCAATAGGGTAAATGAGGCATGTTGAATTGTAGAACAGCACCTTATTCCTAAATTAAAACGAGATAAAAGAAGCTCAGATTCAACAGGCTGGAAAAGTATATAAAAAGATTAAGAGAGAAAAACCCACCTAACAAACTGCAACATACAGTGTGAAAGTGCTCCTCTGCAACCCTCAAAAACACAAACATTGAAATATAAAACAGTTGCCATGGCGATTCTGTTTGTTTTTCCTTAGCACAGCCTTTCATTGCTTCAACCGAACCCTGAATTTAAGAGAGATCTGTGCAAATATGTGTGTGTGTGTGTTTGAGGAACATCCGGTGGTGAAGCAGCACATACCTGCACTTCAAAAGCCCTCTGTCACTATGCGCATGCTCATGAATTATTCACGAGGGCCACGGGCGAGGGGCGGGGATGGGGATGGGGAGGGGGGGTTGGCTTCTGTTGCTGTGGTAGTTAGCGAGTCTACGCCATCTGTTTCTCACCACATCACACACATAAACGCACACAGCAATAAGAGCGCGCACACATACATACACCAGTGCACATACACTGGGTTAGTGATGCACCTCGCCGTGGTGCCGTCCCATTAGACACCATGACTTCGGTCTGCTGCGCTACATCACACACACTATCAGCCAACAATAAGAGCACACTCTCAGTGGCTTATTGCCAAAACTATATTTACATTTGTGGGCAAGTATAATTTGATCTATTGTATACTACTGAATACAAAAAAGATTCAAAGTTAGCATTCAACTTCAAGTCAGTAACTTATAGTATATTATACTTAGATTTTTAAAATTTGGATTAAAGCTTTTATAATGTTACCATTTCATCTTGGTTTGGTTCACTTTTTAAACAGACCAAATTTGTTACATGAGGGTAAACTCTCATCTGATTGGTCAGAGTGCACTGGTTGATGTTCCAGGATTTTGCTCATATCAGTCATCCGTCAGTATGTATAAAGTAGCTGTGGATGCTTGTTGTGTCTTTCCTTATAGCTATTCTCATATTAGCTTATCATTCTGAGCAAGAATCAAGGCTTCTTTGGTATTTTATTCCATTGGGCATTGGCTTTCATACTGACTTTCCTCCAGGATACCTCACAATTCCTTCTGATAGGCATTAGAAAAACAAACTCAGCTATTTTAAATGTAGTGTATGTAATAATTCAGCCTGAGCTAACAAGGAAACGTAACTTTCTTATGTTTTGTCAGTTAAGTGGCTAATACGTATGAAATCAAGTTGGGGCGAAGCAGTGGCGCAGTATGTAGTGCTGTCGCCTCACAGCAAGAAGGTCTCTGGGTCGCTGGTTCGAACCTCGGCTCAGTTGGCATTTCTGTGAGGAGTTTGCATGTTCTCCCTGCGTTCGTGTGGGTTTTCTCCGGATGCTCCGGTTTCCACAGTCCAAAGACATGCTGCAGGGGAATTGGGTAGGCTAAATTGTCCGTAGTGTATGAGTGTGTGAGGGTGACAGGCCCAGACGACAGGCCGGCCGGAATGTGTCAAAAAAAAAAAAAAAGTCGTTATCGTATGGACAAATCTAAAATGGCTTGTTCCAAAAGAGCCGACCCTGCAACCATACGGGACTAAGGCCAAAGAAGAAGAAGAAGAAAACGTATGAAATCAAGTTCAAATTCTGTCATACAAAAATTATCTATTTTTGAAAGGATGCGTGACACCAAACCCCACCCCTTAACCCAACCACCAATGGGACATGAGCAAATGATATTATAATGTACAAATGAGACTGAATTAGCCACTAAATCAGGGGTGTCATATTCAGTTCCTGGAGGGCCGCTGCCCTGCACAGTTTAGTTCCAAACTTGCTTTAACACACTTACCTGTGGGTTTCAAATAAGCCTAATAACGTGTGTTTAATTAGGGTAGGAACTAAACTGTGCAGAGCGGTGGCCCTCCAGGAACTGAGATAGTAAGATAGCACTGAATAATTCATTACACTGTGCATTAAACTCTTTTGTCTGATTTTATGATTTTCACCACAAGCCAACTTGAGACCACTTTGGCGATTTCAGACTGATTGTTTTTGGTATAGGTTTGGATGAAAATGCCATGTTTAAAAGTGCCCAAAAGAACTGATCTAAAGCAGAAAAAGGGCCAGGTCTAAAACAACAAGTCACCTGAAAGAACCATTTAAAGTTTAATGTTTAAAATCCATGTGAAACAGAAGTTTAAGAAGAAAGGTTAATGCACACTGAATCCAATTTTTTCGTCCGTAATTTTCACACTTTTAAAAAAAGTAAATTTCAATGTATTGACACACTGCCACCGAAACTTTCATCCGTCATAAAGAAATAAGAACCGGGTGTGATTGTTTCCATTTTTCGCATCCAAAAAAGCACTTTGAGAAGAGTTTTGACAGTTCAGAGCCACCGTACAAGTGAAAAGCTAAATACAGAATGCCGCCATTTGAGCTACAGAGAACTTTATGACAAACACAATGCATAAAACAAAAACACGATAGTGGCGAACAGTTGAGAACCCCTAAATGCTGGTATCAGTGACTGGCGCACCTCCACTGTTGACATTTAAAGTACTGACCACAGAAATTATAACAGAAAGCATGGTCCGATTTTGGTCCGTTTCTTCGACACATCAGCATGGCCTCCATCTATTATAATGTCTATAGGTATTGCCAATCTCTGTTCAAGATTTGTTTACGTACATGAATGTGTGAAGTATCACAAGCAATGTATCAAAATAATAAACTTTTAAAGCATTTCGGGATAATCATAGCACAGCTCTTTGATAACGAGCTAAACTCTCCTTCCTCTCTATGCAGAATTGGATGAATACAATATGTAGCATATTCATCGTTCTTTTTCTACTTTGGACAAGAGAGGAGGATAAAGTATCACTGCTTGAACTGATTCTGAAATGTGTTTCCTTTTTCGTAATGGATTCTGCATCAGCCTCAGTGTGCAAATGTTTGTTTATGTGACAAATTTTTCACATATGAATACGAAATAAAACACATACGAAAATTTCGGACTTCAGTGTGCAAAGACCTTAAGACTTTTATTTCTGTTTTCTGTTTATTTCTGTAGTACATCCAACTGAAACAAAATATTGAGTAGGGGTGGGTCTTTCTTTTTGCATACCATTCCCTTGTAGCAAAAGACAAAACAAAAGATGCTGATGTCAAACTGCCGCATAATGCTCATTTTACCCAGAAACTGTTTGCAAATGTATGCCAAAGCATGTATTTGCGGTTTCCAAAGATTTAGCCCTGAGCACGTATTCCCAATGAGCCTGTGTTAAATACATCCTTCATGCATCCACTCTTGTGGTCTTGCCCACTTGAAAGTGTATGTCAGCGATAGTAAGTGTGCAAGGGTCCCAGATCTGGGAAGTAGCAAAGTCTAATGCCCTTAAAGGCCACTAAATCCAAATAAAATCTCACATCTCTTAACACTGCTTTGGATCAGTTTTTGTGACAACTTGTTTCCCATCATTCATCAGGAAATTTAAGTAAATTTAATCAAATAACATTGCATTGAGATTGTGTTGCATATTGATACTGAGAAAGTATTTTAGAAAATGCTGCAACTGCTTTTTTTCACATAATTAGAAGCACCACAATTAAAATGTCATTCACAAGGATGACTGAAAAGAAATTTTGATGCTTAATTAAAGGGGTAAAGTATTAAATGTGTAATTAAAGCCATCAAAGCTTTACTTGCATTTTTACAACACTACATTGTGTGCCATTGGTTAATCAAAAGTTTTGCACTCACTCACAGACTCCATGCCTGAACACTTGGGGCAAATACAGGAAATACATTGTGTAAGCAGACAATTGATCGAGGACAAAGACTGTATTGTGGGTATTTGGATAGGCCCTAAGTTGTTTATTCTTGAATCAGAATGAACATTTTGCATTGTTTTTCATTCGTGCCTGTAAATGTAAAAAACAAGTCTGATTAGAGTCTTTTTTTTCATGACTCAAACTACTACGTATTTGATTTTGTGAGACAAATCAATATGTGTATTTTCCTACTATAATTATATGGCAATTTTCTTTGAAATTCAGTTCTTGATGCAAACTCACATTAACAGCTCTGATATAAAGATGGTTTTTGTCGTTGCACTACAGATTCATATGTAGATTTAAGTAGTGATATAAAAATGTAATGCTATACTGATTGATATATGTACAGTCAGTTAAATACATGTTTAATTTCAGCATATGAGGACTTCAATACAGTCAGCTTTGCTGTCTTTAGCAAATAAACAATATTATATGTATACAAATGGTCAAGCAATTACTAAGTAAACTTTGCCAGGCGCAAACATCTCAACACAAATCTTATTGATAAAAGTACATACATGGAGGTACATTCACCTGTATGAAAGTATGAAAAACCCATATGGACCTATGATAAACATATTTTGTACAGTTTCTGTGTGCAGGTTTGATGCTCAGATAACGTGGCTGTGATTCTTACCTGCTGGTGCTTTTATGAGAGGGGGCGGGATTAAGGGCACTATGATTGGCAGGCCTCCGTGCTCCTTTGAGGAGGAGGGGTTTACAGACGACTCGGCTGTCACTCCATTGCGTGATGTGGGAGTAGAGCCAGAGCTGTTGGCGTGTGGAGGAGAACCACTGCTGTTCTCCAATGTGGATGCTTTTGGCAAAGAGTTCTCTAGAGACGAGAGAGAGGTGATGGTGAGTCATTTATGTCTCACAAATCAGTCATGGTGTGAAATATGTGAAGTAAGCGGAATCTATATTTGTTGAGCAAAATACCATTGGTAGGTCAAAAAATTTAAATGATTATTTCAACATAATCAATATGTAAGGAATAACTGACACTAGAGCTACCTAGAACTACTTCACTGTGCACTCATCTGAAAATAACTGCCATGAATAACCTTAGAATGTTCTTCAGCCAATCGGAATCAAGTATTGGACTTTGCATAAGAAATCAAAATCATCACGAGTCCATGCTATTGTAGCCATAATATTTTCTTAACATTTACTCAAAATCTAACAGCAACATTTTACTTCCTCTGACATCTCAGGCTGGATTTTTCCAATTGTTACTTGGTTATTCGGGCTTTGTTTTATCAACATTCAAGTCTTACTCTGGTACAGTATATAACATCAAAGTAACACTGTTTAATGGATAAAATCAAGCATTTATATTACATTATTATCATTATTAATCGTTTTAGTAGGAAATATTAAATTACAAAAGTGATGTTGAATGAGTTTTCACACTGACTAAAACATGGCAAGCTTATTCAACATATTCGGTGTATGAAAATGCTAAACCACATTTATTTTCTTCATTATCAATGTTTTAATATAACTTTACAAATAAAAATGGATAATGTTCCATTTCATGGGCACATACTTGACAACAATGGTGAACTAAAGGGCATTAGGAGTACAGACGCTTATAGTTTCATTCATGGATGCTCCAATAAATGATAACTCTTTACATTTGGAAGCTAATCATCAATTTATGGGCTAACAAATACAAAGTTGTAGTATGAATTTAGCTGAGCCTGATTACGATAACAAAACACAAAGAAGTAAATAGGACAATTTATTTTATTAATGACAAAAAACAAAACTGCTGGGAAAGACCTACATTTGTCTTTCCCCACATCATTTAACGTCTGCAAATCTGGTGATTTTCTTATTGGCTATTCTTATACAAACAACTTGTCTTCCCTCAAGCAAAGTGTGCTTTTGCTGTGAAACATTTCACATCATTTGAAGACACCAATCAAACCCTTATTATGTAAACTTAATAAGCTGTATCCTTCTATCTCTCTTTTGTGTAATAGATACAAAGGCGCGGTCAGCACCTATGGTGATATGTTCTGGTCCTGTTCAGAAGTATCTGATTTTTGGAAAAGTATCTTCGGACTTTATATTCAGGCTTTCGAAATGGACATTAAAATTGTTGTAGAATAAATGGATTTTCAGACTAGGCTCTAACTTGGCCTAAACATCAACAACTCTCTCTTATGTTTGGCATGGTGCTGGCCAAGAGAGTGATTTTAATGGAGTGGAAACCCACGACACCTCTTGGTTTGTTTTGAATGGTTAGCTGACATGGTTTCTGCCCTTAAGCTGAAAAGGTTATACGGTTCTCTAGATTTTCAAACAGAAGATGTATGATAAACTATAGGGCCACTTCCTTAAATGTATATATCAACAATATCTCTGTAATATTTTTTTTTTGTAATAATTTGTTTTCTCCTTTCTTTTTACATGTAATTCTATTTTGTTTCTAATTTCATTAGTCTGGCTGAGATTTTTTTTTGATGGTGCTGTATAATTGCTGTATTGTTCGCTACTGTTTGTAGTATGATCTAGTTAGTATCAAGTAATAACACTGAGATAGTTTTATTAACACATACAGTGCTCAGCATAATTGAGTACACCCTATTTTGAAAATGAAAATTTTATTAATTTCTTAGTGAATATAGGCTTTTTTTTTTGTTGCATTTAAACTAAAAATTAAAAATTTATTAAACAGATATATTTATTTAAATAATATTTTAGTCACCACACCTAATTAAAATTTGAAAGATAATACAATTAAAGTCCAGAAAGATAATATAATTAATGTCCAGAAAGATAATACAATTATCAAACAAAATATGTATATATATATTACAATCTACAAAAATTTCAACAAAATTTTTCAATTTTTTTGCCTCTCTTGATTTTTCTTCTATTTAAAGTCTGTATTTAATATTTTTCTATAACATATAAATTTGGGTGTATAAGTTTTTGGACCTTTATCAAAAGTTATTTTGTTAAGCTCCAGATTTGGCTTCAGAACTGACTAATCTAATGTATATGTATAAATATAATATTGTAGAGCTTCCTATTCAAAATAAGAATTTAAAAAACATATTTGTGACGAAGTGTACTTATATATGCTGAGCACTGTATGATGTACACTATTGGGTGTTATGTTTTCATAAAAACTTCTATTAAAAAAAGTAAAATACATAATTAAGTGATTAAAAAATAGCATTACAAAGCATATACATCATTAATGACATTGTCATCTGTAATTAAAAACATGAACTTCTTTTTTTTATTTTTACTAACTCTTTGTCATTTAAACTTACATTAAGGCTCTAGCAGTAAATCCGAAGCACACCTCTCCAAAGCTCACATTAGCGTTTTGACCTGTTACGTGCCAGCAAACTGACTAAATAGCTCTTACAGAATCTCGAGATGACATTCTCACACAACAAACACTCAAACCCACCTGCAGCAAATAAGACAAGATTCACCAAGGGCAGCCAAACAGATAACCGGCAGATAGCAGAAAAGCCCATTTGTAACTAACTGCACGCTCGTTTAGAGACGATCACGGCTAAACGAGTTAATTAAGTCTGATTGTCCTTCGCCTAATCTCTCCACTTCCAGCAACGTCAACTAACAATAGTGAAATATCGTAATCTGTGGCGGTGGATTTGTCTGACGGCGGAAAGTAATTACGACGAGCGTCACATGGCAGGCGTGGTAGGCTGGAGAAATGGGGCTGAGAGCATGTTAGCTGGGAGCCGTCTAATGCCTACATCACCATTTTTCTTTAATGGAGGCTGGAGTATGGACTTAGTGAGGAATTAGCCAGCTCATTGTTTCGGCGTCTCATTCTCTGTCCCCACAGGGCCGCCAAAAAAAATGGCTGACAGTTTAAGACTCTCTAATGCTCTGGCACGGAGGCCAGCCAGGAGACGGCATGGAGGGTGTGCAGATAAAGCTGTGGGTTTATCACGCTGCTCTCGGGGGAACGGCAGAGGAAGTTCTGGAATTTGTGCACTTTTTTAACAACGTTTAAAATCTGACAGTTCTTGTTTTCGGTCCTGTCCTTGTCAGGATTTTGTGTCTTATTATCATCCCAGAATTCCCTCTAGACTCTTTGTGGTGGCAAACAGGTTTGTGAAATTAACCTGCTGCAGTGGACCTATCGGGAATTAAAGGATGATAATAAGATATAAAAATGCATGTTTTGCATGTTAGTGTCAAGTGTTCATAGCGTCCAGAAGGTATAGGTAGGTGCTAAAACTTTCTTTGAATATTAACTGGGTTGCAGACCAAAAACCAATGCTAAAAACAGATAATATTAATTCATTCATTTTTTTCGGCTTAGTACCTGTATTCATCAGGGATCACCACAGCAGAATGAACCGTCAACCTATCCAGCATATGTTTAACATAGCGGATGCCCTTCCAGCTGCAACCCAGTACTGGGAAACACCCATACACAGTCATTCACACTCATACACTCTGGCCAATATAGCTTATTCAATTCACCTGTACTGCATGTCTTTGGACTGTGGGGGAAAGCAGAGCATCTGGAGGAAACCCAAGCGAACACAGGGAGAACATGCAAACAGAAATGTCAACTGACCCAGCCGGGGCTCGAACCAGTGACCTTCTTGCCATAAGGTGACAGTGCTTTATTCACTGTGCCACCATGTCGCCCTACAGATAATATTAATACAAAATTTATCTAGAAAACAAGGAGTTTTATGCTCAAGGCTGGACAGTAAAAGGAACAATACTGTAAAGTTTCATTATAGTCTCCATCTCAAACTGTGTCCAGCAGAAATTGGCTAATTTTTTTTATTATTTTATTTTTATTGAAAACTTTTTAAAAAGTTTTTCAACAGAACATAGAGTATTCCACATCAAATAATATAATAAATTAATCAACAAAAATAATACAATAATACATTTTACATTGTTGCAGATTCAATGCATTTAACAGTTGTTTAAATGGCAGTAATCAATCCATTTCTTCCAATGTTTTAGAAAAAAGTCTTTTTAAGTCTCAGAATAAATTTAAATTCTTCCATATTGCTTATTTCCTTCACAATTTCTACCCAATCACCAAGAAATTGGCTTATTTTCTTGCAGCAGGTAGTTTGCAGGCTCAACAAAAATGGGAATGTGATACACGTGTTTCAACTCTCTGAAAGGTCATTATAACATGGAATGGGACAGTTTTGATTGGTCATTGTGCAGATTTTGTTTTTTGAGGCCTGGCAACCCTGATTTTGAGCATTAAATTATCATATTAGATTTGAAGAAGATGGCAAGTTATGCTGAAGCACTTTTACTGGCTTTTGTCTAGTCCACATTAAACGCTTACCACATTTATTTTGCCTAAATAACTCCATCATGTTCAACAAAACATTTCCTAGATACAAAATTATGTAATATTAAGCAATCCTGAGCATAAACGCTAAAAGGAACTCATGTCACATCAGCCAAGAAACACACATTCTGGCACTTTCTATCTACTGACCTTTTTTTCCTGCACCAAATTTGCAGTGACCAGCAGGTGTCCCTTATGTGCATTCAAAGGCTTGAGAAATGAACCACTTTTCAACACATCTGGATGAAAAGCTTCAAAGCTATTTGCACCTTCATCTCGCCACTACTAATTGACATGGCAGGCCAAACAAATCAAGTGTAGAGGGACCTATTTGCAGTACTTCTTTTACTAAACACAAAAACAAGAAAGATAGCTCACACCGGAGAGCTCAGGCAATAACAAAACAGCACAAAAATGTAAGACACTGAACTGAAGTCAAGAAAAAAAAAGTGATAATGAGGACAGAACAAGCGAACCGTGGGAATAATCAGTACGTGTGGCAACAAACAAGGTGAGAATTGTGTCTAGATTAAGGAGTCATTTACACAGCACTGTTCTCAACTAAAAATGGCATTTTCAATATGACAACCTGGAAAACATTAAAAATTTATATCCCGATATTAGTCATCTCATATCTTCATAACGCTAATTAGTCCTTATAGAAAATCATCATACCCTGTGAAAATCTATAACTTTACTAACGTTACACCCTGCTTTCAAAACGCCTTCGGGATAAAGTTGTAGAAAGACACAGAAAAGGCTATCAAACATAGGCTGGAAAAGTTATTTGGGATGTGATTTAATTTCGGGCTGTGTGAAAAATAATGTAATTATTTTAAAGGGGTATGATGATAAACTATAGATTCTGTATACCATGATATAGTACCTTTTCTGAAAATACAATCAATAATTTGTATATACTGACCACATAAAAATGTCTTTTTCAATTTTACTAAAAAATACTAATTCACATGTGATTATTTTCTTACTTTATTTAGCTCACTTTATTAATTACTTTTGGGCAAATGTTTGATTAAGAATGTAGAAAAATAAAATTAATATTAATGAAATATTATGTAAGTAGTAGGTAGTGCTGTCGCCTCAGTGCAAGAAGGTCGCTGGTTTAAGCCTCGGCTGGGTCAGTTGGCGTTTCTGTGTGGAGTTTGCATGTTCTTCCTGTGTTTGCGGCATGGGTTTCCTCCGGGTGCTCCGGTTTCCCCCACAGTCCAAAGACATGCGGTACAGGTGAATTGGGTAGGCTAAATTTTCCGTAGTGTATGAGTGTGAATGAGTGTGTGTGAATGTTTCCCAGAGATGGGTTGCGGCTGGAAAGGCATCCGCTGCATAAAAACATATACTGGATATGTTGGCGGTTCATTCCGCTGTGGCGACTCCAGATTAACAAAGGGACTAAGCCGACAAGAAAATGAATAAATGCAAAAATACTGTACTTTTAGACTTGCAACTCACTATGCTGTTATTCATGTTTCTGCCTGCATTAACTTGGTGGCAGGTAAGATGGCGCATGTATGTAACATACAGTTGAAATCAGAATTATTAAACCCCCTTTGATTTTTTTTTCTTTTTTAAATTATTCCCAAATTATGTTTATAAGAGCAAGGGCATTTTCACAGTATGTCTAATAGTATTTTTTCTTCTGCAGAAAGTCTTATTATTATTATTATTTTTAAATATTTTAAGGTCAAAATTCTCAGACCCTTTAAGCTATATTTTTTGATAGTCTACAGAACAAACTATCATTATACAGCAACTTGCCTAATTACCCTAACCTGCCTACCTAGATAACCTAATTAACCTAGTTAAGCATTTAAATGTCACTAAAAGCTGTATAGAAATGAGTTAATAAAACTTATGTTTAGAAATGTGTTGAAAAAAATCTTCTCTCCATTAAAAAGAAATTGGGGGAAAAATAAACAAGGGGCTAATAATTGAGTTAATTTTGTTATGTATTCATGAACCTGAAGCAAAGGAAAACAGTACAAAAGTCCAAATACAAAACGACAACTTCATTTTCATCATTATTATTCTAGACTCCAGTTTAACATGATCAATCAGAAATTACTCTGATATAATCATTTGGTGCTCAAGAAACATTTCTTAAATATTTTTATGTATACTTTACATTTTTCGTGATGTAATGACTGGTTGAAAAGAATTTCTAAAATCACTAAATAAAATGTTAATTAATTCGAAACCATAATCCATACAATAACCTAAATCTGAAAAATAAAATACTGGCAGTTCAGTACCAGGATTTGTACCATAATTTATGACAAACCCAGAAAATAAATTTATACAGTCAAAAAATAACATTTTGACAAATAGTGTACTATTTTCATTCAATCATGAGAGTTTTTTGCCATTCACTGCATATTCTTTGTGTAAATCCTCCTTTTCCTGTGTGCCAAGGGTAAAGTGGTGTATCTGCATCAGATCTCACCTTTCAGGACAGAGATGTGTTGCCGCATTTCTCCGTCAGGATAGTTGCGGATCTCTATGTCGTCCGAATCTCGTAACTCCACTTTATCGTATCCGTACCATCCAAGTAACTCATTCATGGTGTTTTCAGCAAAACTCTGCAGAGAAACAGGGCAATAAAATACAATTTACAATCTTTTTTTTTCAATCTATCAAACAAACTTCTAATCATTCTCAGGGATTAATTCTCCTAAAACTATTGCTGCTTTCATAACACATTTATCCTGACAAGCATACACACACAAACACACACACACACATACGCAGAGGAATTGTGAAAGAGTGAATAATTGCAGTCTGTTTGGGAGGTGTACTGCACTGAAACAATCAATGTAAAAAACAACTCTGAGTGGCAGATTTTGCAATGCAGATAAACAAAAATCTCCACAGGGAATCTTATGTTTGCATGGCTGCTGTGAACCAAGGCCAGAAGTAGCATCCAAGAAATCCACTAGCTCATCCATGGACAAAATCTGACTGAAAATAGCTTCAAACGTTTCCGCTCCATATCCCTTTAAGAACAAAATCTGGAGAGGCTATAGATTGACCAGGGCATCAAACAAGCATCTCGCAAACAACACTAATCCAGAGACCCAGAGAAAAGGAGCATTTTTAACAAATCAGAGCAGAAGACATGCATCTTCAACATATCTCAGCATAAAAGATGGAGCACAGTGTTTCATTTATTATTGAAGTATGTTTTACGGGAGTATTACTTTATTCTGCACTCTTAAGATGAATGATTGGTCCATCTATAACAAGCATACAATCTTAAAATTCCACAACGGGTTTGTTACAGTAAAAAAGGGTTCTTTGGATGTAAAATATATTTCACTATAAAAAAATAATTGGTTGATTTAAGAAATGTACCCTGGAAGTTTTTTAAGGAACCCAAAATGGTTCTTCTATTTATTTGTAAGAGTCTGGTGCTATTTGTTCGCTATAAAAATATCAGGTTCCTTCAACACAAATCAATGAAATTTAAGTGAATTGAACATTAAACAATTAAAACAATTTAAAAAGTTGTCACAAACATTTTAAAGTAGTTTGAACAAGCAACAAAATATTTTTGAGTGTTTTTTTTGTCACTTTTGTGAAATTTTACTAATACTTTCAGAAAAGTGAGTGAAAATAGATTTGAAGTAAAATATCTTATATATCTTTTTTCCATGTATTTAAATCTCTATTGTTTAAACATTTAAAGGATCATCTCAAAATAAAGAAACAAATGTTTTTATAAATGCTGTATTTTTATTTTATTATGTGTAGAGAGCACACAGGTTCTGAGCAAAACGAAATAAAAGGTGTTAAGTCATTGATTATCCATTTTCAAAAGCCATAAATTTGGAAATATTGGGACGAAATAAAAACATAAACAGAGGTAATTTACAGGCCTGTGATTTCTTTTCATTAATTGGACATTTGTGAAATGAAATATCTATAACATTTGTATAAAATCTGTATTCACTGAATCAAATCAACAATGAAGAATGGAATCATAAATTGAATCAAATCAAAATCTGAGCTTGTGAATCTGAATCGATGTCCAGCCAAGTGAACACACGGTGTTGGCTTCACATATAAAGTATAAGTCAAATTATATTCATTCATTTTCCTTTGACTTAGTCCTTTAATTCATCAGGGGTCTCCACAGCAAAATGAACTGCCTATTTATCCAGCCTGTGTTTTACACAGCGGATGTCCCTCTAGCTGCAACCCAGTACTGGGAAACACCCATACACTCTCACATTCACAACCGACAAATATGTTTTGTTTCCTTGTCAGTGAAATTTACTTACAAAAAAGTGAGTAAAAATTGTTTTGAAGTAAAATCCTACTGTATATATCTTTTTTTATAATTTTTAATTCTTCAAAGTTTAAACATTTTAAAGAATAATCTCAAAATAAAGAAATGAATGTATTCGTAAATGCTGTCGTAATGACTAAAAATAGCTTGTATTGTGTGTAAAGAGCAAACAAGTAGAAGTAAAAAACATTGTGATTAAGTCAATGTCTATTCTCAAAAGCTATACAGTAAATCTATATTATGACTAAACAAAAACATAAACAAAGGTAATGTACAGGTCTGTGATTTCTTTTCATTAATTTAACATTTGTAAACTGAAAAAACAACAGCATTTGTATAAAATCTATATTCACTAAATCAAATCAAGAATCGAGAATTGAACCATAAATCAAATCAAATTAAAATTTGAGCTTTTAAATCTAAATTAATATCCAGCCTAAGAGAAAACAAAGTGTTGGTTTCTTATCTATAGAAGCTATAAGTAAGTTTATATTACAGATTAAATTAAATGTGTAAATGACAAAACTAAAAAAAACTAAATTTTCATGGTTTTCACAGTTTTTTACAATCTCTCATACCATAAAGAAGCATAAAACATCATATATTTGCTTATTTATTATATTTCCATATCATTTTTTTGTCATTTTGTTTGTTTTAGTCAATCTGAGGGAGGCTCTCACCATCAAGTAGGGCGAGTTGCCATGGAGATTGCCTGCCTGCCCCGCCCCTGGGAGGGGCCGATTGGACGGGACCTGATGAGACATGAGTCAACAACTGTCAATCAAACATACATCTGTCAATCAATCAGTATTCTGTTCTTATCTGTTGTTGGAGTTATACATATTTAAAGTCTTTTGCATGGGCATTAAAAAATTAAATTGTAAATCACAATATTGCCATATTCAAAAAAGCATTCTGTATACTGACATTCATTTTAAACAAATACACAATATATTTAATATTATCAAGACATAACAATGCTTTCCAAGTCCTCCTAGATTGCTGTACAGTGTATTTCTACATTATTTCATTAAGAAATGCAAATATTTTTGTATTAGTAAAATGCTGTTTAAATATGTAAATGAGGCACTCTTTTTCTCATATACGTGCACATTTGCAAACATTTTAGCAAATCTTAACACATAAAATCAGACTCAAAAATCTTGATTAATTTTCACAAAATAAGTTTTTAAAGGGAAGGTTTTGTGTATCTCTCTTTTTTTTTTACTAATTCTGAAAACACTTTTTTGTTAAATAAAATAAATGCTGAATATAATTGTGTGTGAAGACATCTTCCTTTTAAAGTATTCAGAATGTAAATATAAATGAAACTGTGAAAAATCTACATGGTGCTGAGGTGGAGATGTATGGCTCAATGCCGGATGAGATAAAAGTTACCAATACAAAACAATAATAGCATATTGTCATTGAAATCTACAGTCACAAATTGATCAAATTCGACAAAATAAACAGTTTAGATTTATTTTTGTGTGTTCTTTACATTAGGCTGACAAATAATACTCTAAAAATAGAAGGAAAAAAAGCACTTAAGATCTCAAAATCTCAAGAGGGATGAAAAGCACTTGTATTGGCTGTAGTGTATCGCTTTGGCGTTTCGTTTTTGCACTTGCGCGGTGTGTCCAGCAGGGGTCTGTCCTGTGTCTCTGGTCTGTAAGGTGAGGCGTGTGCTTTAGGATGAAGTTCACAAGGTCAGGTACAATGCGGTAATTACACCCCGTCCACAGGAAACCCTACTAGACTGTATCAGCACAGCACAGATCAATCCTGCATCACCTGAGCCGCCTTATAAAGTGTTTCTGGCCACTTCTGGAGCTCTGATCGTCTGGGAGCACCGTTTAGAGGTGGCCAGAGTTTCCTCCGGAGGGCTGACCTGAATTACACCCCTAACAAGAGGTCACGCGTCATCAGCACAGGGTCAAAGGTGAGGTCACTCTAAGCTTTAGGCACAGCGATTCTTTATTATTATTATTATTAAAAATAGAGCAGTGTGTAAGATATTTTAAGAAAACCTTTTAAAAGGAAACAAACAAAAATACTACAAAATACAAAATATTAATACACTATACAGCTGAAGTCAGAATTATTAGTTATTTTATTCATTATTATTATTTGTCTAGATATTTTTCTATACAGCTTAAAGTGACATTTAAAGGCTTAACTAGATTCATTATGTTAACTAGATAGGTTAGGGTAATTAGGCAAATTATTGTATGTAACTATGGTTTGTTCTGTAGACTATTGGAAAAAAATATAACTTAAAGGGGCTAATAATTTTGACCTTAAAATGGTTTTTAAAAAATTAAAAACTGCTTTTAATTTAGCCGAAATAAAACAAATAAGGCTTTCTCCTTTTTCTCTCAAAATGTTATCAGACATTCTGTGAAAATTTCCTTGCTCTTTTAAACATCATTTGTGAATTATTTAAAAAAGAAACAAAAATCAATGGGGGGCTAATAATTCTGGCTTTAACATATATATATATATATATATATATATATATATATATATATATATATATATATATATATATATATATATATATATATATATTTTTTTTTTTACAGGCCTGTAGCAGCCTAATGAAAGGGATGGTTCTTTTTTGAAGTTATATGCCTCATTTTCTATTTAATCATGAGACTTTAATACTGCATTTTAATGAAATTTTAAGCACTATTTCTAGCTAAATTAGCTTTTCGAATGTTCATAACAAACCTTACTTCTTGATGTACCAAAAATATTTCCTAGAGATTTAGAATAAAGAAATATGAAAATACATTTAAAAATTCATGGATAATAATTGCAAAAATAGTATTCAAATTAACTTAAATATGGTACGCGTTTGGTACTTCACATATTTTATTTGTGATTTTTTGTTTCAAGAGTAAGGACCAACATTTTGAATAAAAGTCACTTGCAAAATGTTTTTTCAATTTAAAAATAATACAGTAGTGAAAAATGACTTCACTTCACTTCCCAAATATGACATCAGATTGAAAAATGAAAATATATGTTATCATTGGTCAAAACTGATTGGCTGAAGTTTAAATTTGACAATTTTAATAAAAACAACTTTTAGGAAAATGTAAACACTTTTAAAAAAAAAACATTTAAAGTTTTTTTGTCATTTGATTAGTTAATTTTACCTGTTAATCATTAACTGTAATTGAGCTTTTAAAATTTTGTATATATAACACAAAAACATATGTACATTTATTTATCTATTTATTTGTTTATTTGTCTAAACAATGTTATCTATAAAATGAAAAGATCCCAGTTGTAAGAGCAACAAATAGTAACTTGACTTCGAGTAGATCATTTGGAAAAGTGGCAGAAGAAAAATCATGGTTTGGGGTTACATTCAGTATGGGGACGTGCGAGAGATCTGCAGAGTGGATGCCAACATCAACAACCTGAGGAATCAAGACATTTGTGCAGGATAGTGCTTCTTCTCATACTTCAGCATCCACATCAAAGTTCCTGAAGGCAAAGAAGGTCAAGGTGCTCCAGGATTGGCCAGCCCAGTCACCAGACATGAACATTATTGAGCATGTCTGGGGTAAGATGAAGGAGGAGGCATTGAAGATGAATCTAAATAATCTTGGTGAACTCTAGGAGTCGTGCAAGAACGCTTTCTTTGCCATTCCAGATGACTTTATTAATAAGTTATTTGAGTCATTGCAGAGATGTATGGATGCAGTCGTCCAAGCTCATCGGAGTCATACACAATATTCATTCATTTTCCACAGCACTATGACTTTATTTACTATATTGTACATCATTTCTGTGAAGTGACAAAACTTTTGTCTAAACAAAGCCAGACCTTACTGTCCTAAATGAATAGTTAAATCAAGGCTTAATCATATTTTATTTTGGTAAAATAAGCATAATCTAGAGGCCTTTGCCTTTCATATAAGCCACTTCTGATACCAAATGATCAACTAGAAGTCAAATTATTATTTGTTGTTCCTAAAAATTGGATAGGTGATAATGTAAAAAAAAAAAAAAATATATATATATATATATATATATATATATATATATATATATATATATATATATATATATATATATATATATATATATATACATATAAACATGTAAACACTTAAGTGGGGGTAAACACTATTAATATTAAAAACTAGAATTATTCTTTCCAATGTATTCACAAATCATGCAAATGACCATCACAAGTAGTTATGGCACTAGTAACTAGATTTAGCAAGGTTGTTACATTCCCCAGTAAAAAAACAAAACAATTTAAAACATCCTCATATTTGCTTGTGTTTGTCTTTCAGACATCAGCTTGTGTTCAGTCAAAACTCCACACACACATAAATGCAATCTGTAAATCCCTGCACTCCTTCCTCTTAAGGCCACCCAATAGTTACACAAACTCTGATAAAACCCCCAATATAATGCACTGTATTTAATTTTTAAACACTATATTTCCTTCCATACAAAAAACAAAATCAACTGGGAAGACAGAGAAAAAATTACAAGATCGTTAGCAGCAAATCTCCTCTCTCTCTCTCTGTGTGTCGTGATTGTGACGGCGGGAGGAATCAGACACCCTGCGCTTCGAAACATGAGTAGGTCACTGTACACCATGATAAAATTCCCTCCTCCCTTCACCAACTTTCCTCCTCTCTCTCCTCCCAACCCACACTTTTCCATTCCCTTCTTGCTTTTTTCTCTTGTCCCTCTCTCACTGAATATCACTTTCTCTCTCTCTCTCTCTCTGACGCTCTCTCGCTCTCTTTCTTTCTCCCCCAGCACCACTATGCTCTGCTTTCATTTCCATCTACCTTCCTTGATATCCGATCCGGCCTGTATTCTCAGCTTTCAGTTTTTACAGCTTAGGCTGCCTATTGCTGTATACATTCCTTTCTCCTCATCCCCCTCTCGGTCGGGGCAATCACCAGCACGGGGCTTATTTTACCAGACGCACATGAAAGCAACACTGTCAGACGTCTCTTCTGTATCTCCCTCTCGGAGGTATAATCCTCCGCAAGGCCACATTGTGAACAATCAACCGTATTGCTCTTGTTCTTTGCCATTTTTGCATGTAAGAGAAAAATGAAACAAAGGCTCGTTTTAAAGCACACCAAAAAGCGAGGGACTCCTCATAGGCTGTGTGTGTATGTGTGTGTGTGTGTGTGTGTTGGTGGAAATCTGATACATGAGAGGGAGAAATTCATAATGCTCAGGTCTCAAGTTCTCACTGAGGCAATAAGAGAGAAGTGCAGAGTAAAAACGCAGATTGTATTTGTACACACACACACATACACACACACACACACACGCTCTTTATGTGTTACAGTAAGCTTTGTTTGTGCATGTACAAGCTATTGAATCTTTCAAGTTGACAACAAAAAAAAACTGGAGACGGGTCTTGATGGTGCAGCTGGATGGAAGTATTGAACGTGGCTGTGATTTTCAACACCTGTTCGCACATGTATCTCAGACCCCTCGAACAGACCCTCGCTCTGGATACTGGACACCGCGTATCAAATTTAGCTTTGATTCCACTGAACCCGATCTATGTCTGTTGACGCAAATGTTTGGGGAAAAGTTTTGTTTTGTCTCCATGGCTTTAGCGTTTCCTGTTTTTCGTGTTGCGTGGGGTGTGACACACGAACATTGTTTGTCTGTGGCGTTTTGCATATACATGGACCACTGGCCTCTGTCTGCTGTACCTATTGTGTGTGTGGAGTTTCTGCACGGGGTTTAT